TGGAGTGGAGTGAGATGAATGCCAAACTGACAATGGAAAACACAGGAACAGAATCAATCATGGGTCGAGAAGCACTCGATGAAGTGAACGAGAATGGAGAAGTGTTTTCAGATTTCTGCGCATTCAACGATCTCGTGATTGGAGGCGATGCAGTGTGTACAAACACAAGGATATTCACAAGGCAGAGACATGCATTTGATTTCACCAGATGTACACACTAAAATTCAGATCCACTTCATTTCATTGTGAAGAAAGTGGAGATGGAGCCTACTGGACACGAGATGAAGAAGGGGAGCAGATGTAGGTTCACACCACTCGTACCACCATCTAGTGCAAGCAACCTGCCTGCAAAATCAAGTTGGAAGCCTTCAGTTCAAAGAAATTGGTGATAGAACACAGATCAAGTCCAAGTTCAACACAGAACAGAAAATGAAGAACGAAACTACAAAGGACATCTTCGCATCAGTCAGCCATCAGGAAAAAATAGGAAATATTGAGCGACATCTCTGAAAAAAACCTGCGTGTGAGAATACTGGAACTCTATGAAAGGGACATGGAAGGAAACCTGAGCAACAGCGCTAGGAATGAAGAAGCAAGACAACAAGCGGACCTCCAAGGACACATGAGAACCGATAGAGGAGATAGAGGAGGATGGGAAGCAGAAGATGAACCAGTGCAAGGATGAACAACGAAAAGAGGAACTGAGTACAATCTATAAAACATTCGACGAAGAAGTGAGGAGAGCGCGCGCAAAGACAAGAGACAATTCTACGACACACTGGTAAGTGAAACAGAACAGGCTGCAGGTAGGTGAAACCTAGCAAAATTATATCAGATAACCAGGTGACTATCTGGGAGGGAAGAGATCAACGCAGATGAGACCGATGAAAGACAGTAAAGGAAACCTAGATAGTAAAGAGGAGAAACAAACAAAACGATGAGCTGACCACTTAAAATGCTCTGGAATCGACCACTACCACTTGCGATTCGTTCAGAAATACCACCAGCAACCTCAGAACTACAAGTGGACGCAAGCCCTCTGACACAAGCAATAAAGCTGCTGAAACCCGATAAAGCAGCGGGACCAGATGGAATTCCACCAGAACGAACTGAAAACAGACTCAGAGACGACAGTGGACTTGCTGACATCACTATTGCAGAAGGTTTGGAAGTGATGAAGGAAAGGTACCTGCTGATTGTTCGGAAGAAGGGCTACCTTGTCAAACTAGCAAAGAAGGAAGACCTAAGCCTTTGCAAGAACTGGTGATAAATCATGCTCCTGTCCCTGTCCACTCCAACCAAAATATTAAGTCACATCATCCTGGAGAGACTAAAATATGCACTGGATTCAAAATTACTACGGGAACAGGCTGGCTGACTGGCTTCAGGAAAAACAAATCATATGGGGATCAAATTGCAACGCTACACTACACATCATCATAGAACAGAATATAGAATGGCAGTCAACTCAACTCTACCTCAACTTCGGCGATTTTGAAAAGGCCTTCGATCGAGGCGTCGACCCAGAAGTAATTTGACAGCTGCTTCATTACTACGGAATGCCACGAACCTTAATATACCTCATTCAATAACTATATGACGACGCCACATGCTAAATGATTCACAATGGAAAGGTCAGTAATGTCTTTGAAGGGAAAACAGGAGTAGGACAAGGTTGTCGCCTACTATCATCAATGATCTTCCTGATTGTGGTTGATTTGACTCGACTGGATCACGAAACAAACTGTGGGGAGTGGGAAGATAGGCATACACTGTTTGACCGATGAAAAGACCTTAGAAGATTTGGATTTTGCCGATGATGATGATCATTGATGACTAATGTCCTGTCACACAAATTTGAAGATCTACAGACAAAAGCCAACAAGTTAACAGAAGAGGCGTGGTAGCGATGGAAGACGAGACTGACTTCAGGTGATCGTAGAGAAAACAGAGGTGATGAAGATACCCAACCAACACCACCAACAGCAACAAGTTCCGATCACCATGAACGCAAAAAACCTAAAGGAAGCAGTCTCTTTCATCTACCTAAGGAATGTCATTTCAACTATAGGCAGCAAAGATGACGATGTCAAGGTCAGGACCGGAAAAACAGCAAGACAGGACTTCATTAACCTGAAATCAGTGTGGAGATCTACTGCACTGCACTCAGCATAAAGCGTAAACAAGATCCGGATTTTCAACACCAATTCAGTCAAGTCAGTGCTTCTATGTGGTTGACAGACTTAGCAGCGCCTTACAAAAAGCATTTCCAACAAACTACAATCATTCATCAACAGCCACCGCCTACGCTCACTTGATGCTGAAGATCAGATGGCCAGAATAATGAGAATAAGCAACAAGGAACTCTGGCCTGGCAATGAACCAACCAAGAAACTATCACCCAACAAATATGCAGTGGAAGGAAGTGGAGATGGACTGGACTAGGCATACACTGAGAAGGCCGACTGGGGACATCATGCACCAGGCCAGGCCATCAAGTGAAATCCAAAGGGAGAATGACAAGTTGGGAGTCCAAGGCGAGGGTGACATGGAGGAGATCATATGAGGAAGAAATGAAAGCTTGTGGGCAGTCGTGGCACCGGGTTGAAAAGACTTCAGAAAAGAGAGTGCAATGGAGGCGTGCTGTTGAAGCCCTATGCTGTACTAGGAACCCAAGGGGAAAATAACAATAGTGTACTAATGCAGCGAAACTGAAATTATTCAACAAAGTTAAAGCAAAGCTACCAGGGTAATGCGAGTTATATCACACAGAAGTCAAGTCGTAATCGTTTAATCGTCATTTCTTAAGCATAACCCAGAAGACTGACCTTTCTGTGCATACTACTGGTTTCGAAGGAGTCGCTGACCTCAACTGCATCTCCCGTATCATTTTAATTACTTGCTTTTTTGATCTATTTCCTTGATTGCTTTTTAAACAGGGAGTTCTGTACCTGGATTTCGGCTAAAACGGTAAAAATATGTTAACTATCTTCCAGTATCAATGAGACTACCTAAAATGACCCTATTTCGGCAGATTAGTGTCAATGAGGCTGGGTTAGTTGAAGTTGTGTCTCATAGCTCAGTTGGTAGAGCGCTATACCAGTCACTCATAGCCTGTTGGTTGGCATCTTTCTGTGATCCAAGTTTTCATTTCATCACCAATCAGTCTGAATATTTATTTTTTTGCTCTTAGGTTGTTTACAGCTAGTGAGAAGTTGTGAAATAAAATGCAGGCATTTTATACGGCCCTTACTTTACCTTATAGAATCCCCTCAATCACACAGTTAAGTATAATAACATAGTAAACTTAACCAGCACTTCGTTAAACACCACCTATCGATCCAACTGATGACATGGCAAACCGGTCTATATAAGATCAAATGGAAAATCAGTGATGATGGCTTTCAACTAACACTGTTGACGAAATGTGTGCCTGACATTTAAATAGGTGGAAGAATAAATAAGTTAACTGGAAATCAGCGTTGCTATCAAGTTATATCTTGACGCTAATTGTGAATGTGTCTCCATGAGGGAGCATTACTGATCCATCACTGAGTAGATGATAATTGTCAAAATGAGAAATAATATGCGCTCTTATAGTCTCCACACTTACAAATTACCTATTATATCATTTAGCATATACAAAACGAAACGAACGAAAAAGAAATATACTCAGCCACCTTTTCCACATCCATGCAGTAAGCTATGAGCTACACCCATTGTGAGAGGGCTAGGGATACTGTCTGATCGCCCAAACCTCGATATATGTAGTACCGCTCAAACCCATGACCTAACGGTTGGTAGTCGTCTCTTTCTCAACCACTGGGTCATAACCCCACCCCTTAGGACGCCGCTTAAAAGCATGTATATCAGCAGCATGTACCGCGACAGCGGATAACACAAGAAGTGATAACCTTTATCTAGTGGGGATCCAGGACGAAGACAAAACAAAAAAGATAAGGCTAGAACTCTACAAACTGGGATGCTGATTATCATTTTCCAACATATGATTTCTACTGCTCCATTGAACTTTTCTTCAGTAGTAGGAATTATGGTATGTCCGAAATGAATGATTCTTAAGATCACTTAAACAGGTACTGAAGTAGCCAATTAAGTTCCTTTATTCTGCGGAAAACGCTAGTGTTTAGCCGAAATATATTAAAGTGATTGCAAGGTTAACCTTTTGAGCATCTCATTCCTCCAGTCGAAACATTAGAAAGAGCTCATAAAGGTTTGATGCACATAATTAGAATTACTTGACTGAAACCTGCTTTCCTAACTTAGATTTATTTTATGACGCTGGTCATTAGAATTAGTCCTAAATGAGCCTGAGACTTAGCTCACAACATTCATTGGGAGCTGCCACTTATACAGCTAATTATAAAGATTCAGATCGGAAAAGAAGATAGCACCATAGAGATTCAACCTGCTTAGAAGTCCTGATATGGATAGAACTCGATCAAATACATCTACTTAACACAGACTTTCATATAAACTTTATTCATGTAATAAAGCTTAAATTAGAGGCTACAGTGCACCCTTGATCAATAGACTTTGATTAGGCCATGTTATATTCAGACAGGTATTAATTACCATCTAGTAACTCTCGTGTGAGTATAGTTCAGGTTTATGAGTGACGACAAATGATGAGATTAAACTACTGGTACATTTTTCATCTCTACAACTGACTCCCGGATATTTGGATCCTTAAGAAACAACACAAGTTTGGTCAAGGTGATCGATGCACATTTCTGATGAGTACCAGAAAAAAGTAAATTTAGATCTGGGACTTTTGTCGGTTCACTCCACACAACTAACACCAGAAAAGGTTTATCACAGTGTTGTGCCACCATTCTAATTGACCACACTTAACATTTGATCGTTGGATACCAACTTTTAATTACTGAATCTAGTTTACAATTGCCATTTTAAATTTTTAGAAATGTTATTTCCACTTTCATGCATTTATCTCAACGTTTCAATCAAATTAATTTTCTTAGATAACGCTGGAACTTCAAACAAAGTTTTTGAATCAACCAAAACAGTTTAAACGATTCAGTGAACAATCAGGAAGAATTCTGAATGTTCTCTATTCTGCTAGACAAATATATGATAGACTATATATTTATTGGCTTCTTCCCCTTCATTTTGCGCTAACAAAAAATCATATTTACGCTTTAATTAAACATTTTCCATATATGCCATCAAAAGAATATATCACTTCAAACGACGAAGGTAAGATTACTTGTTTCGCTAAGATAACTGTCCTGAAACAAAGTATCAGGGGTAAATTATAGTTTTAAATTATTTCTTTATACAGTCACAAGTTTTGGCACAGTTTACTATCCACGAAAAATAATTAGGCTCTCAGCATTAAAATGAACTCATAAGTACTTATGTAAAAGGCCAAACAACTCATTAAACAGACTTCTTGACAGTTTCATTTTGGTAGATGTATAATTTACAGCTATTTACAATGTTTGAATGCGTTCAATACTACCAATTATACTCTCCTTCGACGCTTTACTCTATAGAAACTCATGTTTTAGATACGCCGTCGTGTTATGCAATCCGTTATCTAAATATCATGTGTATTAAATTTCTACTACAGTTTTGATTAATACTTACCGTCAATAATGATCTTGGTATGTTTGGATCAGAAAAAATGACTTTGATAAAAACAATACTTTCTAAGCAAAGATTAATATAAGCATCAAATATACGAAACGCGTTCATGTAGATATTTTCGTGTTTGTATATCTTCCAGATTACAGTCATCGAACAAAAATACTTCGCTGAAGAACTTCTCATTTCACCGTATTCTCCTTAGATTGTGTATTTAGATTGTTGGGAGCTTTTAATTTATCTGATAACTTGCTAAATAAAAATAACTACCACATAAAATATATTAGTGACTTTCAGGTCAGGATAGCTTCAAAGAACCACTCATTCTTTTAAATTACCTTCATGGTAATTAACCCAATGTGATTTGATTTGCCTTTAGCTTATTTGTTGCCCCCATTTTTTATAACTCCCAGTGGCATAATTATTTCTAAAGTAAACTCAGTTACTTTGTACAGCTCTGTACTCTGTACAGCTATAAATCTATCCTTAAAAAATCAACATAACGAACAGTAAGAAAAATAACAAATGCATAGATAATTAACAATCTCTTATTACCTCACTAGTCAGCTCAGATGATGAAAATTAATCCTATTTAACTTCGGGTCATACATCGCAAAGTTAGACATTCTGATTTTTCTTTAGTAACCTTATCTTCTGTTAGAATAAATACATTATAGCACTTGATCAAAACAACTCAAACCTACACCTTAGAAATTCAATATACCTAAATGCAATGATCAGCTTGCAAACAGTTCACAAATTGTGTGGCATACACTGATATTTCTTACTTCTGGATCTCTCACCTGCCAAATTGTGGTGTTAGTAGGGAATCTGTTAGAAATTACTCAGTCATTATAACAGATGGTGATGTATATCACAGAGTTGTCACTTACAGACGATATATATTATTGATAAACTAATCAGCTAGTCAAAAACTAATCTCAGTGATGATAGGATTTCAGTTGGTTCGAACAATTTGACTTTGACCAGATGCCACACTTATAACCTTTAACAAAACTAGAGGAAAAACATTCCAGCTAGGTACAACTGTGATAAAGAAAGTGAAATCTGTAGATCATGTTCAGCAGTTTCAAACTATTTACTTTGTTAAGAAGCCTCTAGACCTGATATTTTTATTTTACATTATACAAATAGACATTCTCAACATTTATAACCACCTTGGATTTGCTTTACAAGTTAAGCAATGGATCCCTGATCACACTTCTGAATATGCATGTTTTTTGTTACTATTTTAGAAAATTCTCAAACTGGGTTAATCTCAGTTAGAGGAAACTATTCACCAGCTAGACTACTCGGTTTTCGTTGATCACGAACTTATTGACAAGCAACGCCAATTGGCCCCAGCAGCTTCAGTTATTTAAGGCGCTTATTATATGTTTATGTTTCATTTATTCTGTTTTCACTCCTGGTAGCATCACTAGTGCTAAAGAGATTATCTGCTGTCTTCCTGAAGTTTCCATTTATAAATAAGCTGATGAAACCTGTTTTATACCTAATTATTTCCATTCACGGAGACCTGCAGATCTTATAGAAAATGAAGTCTATGTCCTAGCTACCAAAGCAGGCCAAAAAATTCTCATACTACTTCGTAATAATGGTAAAAAAGGAGAATACTTTCTGACCACTGACCGAAAAAACTCAGAAGATATTTTTGTGAAATTGAGACCTTTTTTAAATTTTCAGTAGCCTCTTAGGAAGTGACTCCAACTGTAAATGCTTACAGTGTTCTCAAACCAGTAAGTAGGTTTGAACAGAGTTTTATGCTGCTACTTGTGTCAAGAAAAAGCAAGAGGATAATATAGCTTACAAGGTTATATGAAAGTCTGATGAGATCTAGCTTGCAAATACCAATTCTCATGCAGTATTTTTTCAAAATAAACATATCTATACTCTTGGTGAGAATAATTCTGTCTATCCATTTATCCTTTTAACCAAAAGCTGACGTAATCTTGCTATCTACCAACCACTTAACACCAATCAATGATCAACAGAATTCGGTAGGTTCTCAGGACTAAACAACATGGTAATGGTAAATTTTTATTTTTCAATCTAATTCTATCCTAAAAGAGCCCAGTCACAACCCAAATAACTCGATGGTAAGGGCTCTAACTACATCACAGATACGTAGGTAGAGCAGATACCTCTTACCGACAAGTGGTAACAATCGTAAAGCCTAGATTCAACACCATAATGCATATACACTGGTAGGGATGTAAAACAAACTGGTAATACTAAGACTGTAAGTCTGGTAAAAGATTTATTATCTGTAGTAGAACCGCTGAGCACAGGTGACCGAGCTTTGGAATACTAATTTGAAAATTTTATGTTCTAAGTACAATCAAAAGCTATCCTTTCATTCCAGCTTTAAATCGGTGTATACATAACACTTATAAATAAGGGTAAAAAAACGTATATCATCAGATGTTACCTTTTAAATAACTCATTAAGCTGCCTTCAAGAGATAAACAAGATTACACAATAATTGTAATCAGTTTCTTAAAGAAACCTATCTGATGATTTTAGTTTTTTAAACACCCTTTTTGCATCCATGACTAGTGTGTATAACAATCTATATTCAGATAACTGGACAATATCAACCACTCGATTAACAAGCTAATGAATTAGACAGTCTTTATTAGTTTTATGAATAAAAGTAAATGCTTATTTGTTTAATTTGGTTTTAGGTGTACAAATCTACTCGTTTGCTATGTGTTTGAGTTCATTCATAGAAATAGTCAATAAAAAGTATGGACTATATGATACTTTTGTAAAAAGTATAATTGAAAAAACTGTGGAAAAATTGAAACATCTCAAATTTTTTGAACATATCAAAAATGTATATACACAATCAATTTTTCAAAATTCTACTTCAACACCCAATGATAGTGATAGTTATTCAAATTTCAGTGTGAGTTTTAAACAGTAACACTGAGTTCTTCTCATTGCTATTTGAAACTGAAATTTTAAGAACGATTCACTTTTGTATAAGGCATATCTAGTTAACTATAAATAAGCGTAAGAAAGAAAAGAAAAATAACATTTCGCCTTTTTGAAGTTCTTTTACTCGAATTCCATTGACTATTTTAGGTATTTACAAATCTAAAATTAGAATAACTGACTATATGAACGCTGTTACTCCTCGCAATATGCATTACTATGACAGTAGCACTAACTCAAAGTACAATTATAAAATGGACTTCACAGCAAACTCAAAATTGTAAAGTCTGTTGTTCGATACTTCTCATTCCCCGCTACTCTACAGGATCTAATTGCTCTACCCCTATTGACAAATGAACTTTTATGCGGATGCCTCATTCTGGACATTCATGATGTTTTATTCATTTTGGTGGCTAGCACTAAAATATAGGATGCATGTTTCGTTCTATTTTGGACTTGTCAGCTGGACGCACCTATACCCCAGTGAGTAATGTCCCCCTTGGTATCGAACCTAGTGCCCATCGCTTCAAACGCAATGGCATTCAACTAAAGAGTCCTAAATAAGATGAAATGCTTGCCTGGATTCCACTGCTAGTCACCAAAATGAATACAGCGTCATGAATATCCGACAGCATCTAGGCATGGTATAAGAGCCCATCTGCTAACAGAGGTAGAGCGATTCGACACGGCGTAGAAACGGGCAATTATAAGTATCAAACGACAACTGATACTTTTTGCGCAAGCAGCGTCTCCCGTGCCTTAGTGGCCTAGTTGGTAAAGCTTTGATGTCCGAAGCGAAGGGTATTGTGTTCGACTCTTAGTAGGAAAAGCATCATTCACTGGCGTACAGGTACATCCTTCTGATGGGTTTTATGTGGGGCGAAACTCCCGTCCTAGACTTCACTGCTAGCCATGAGGACGAACACAACGCTGTAAAGTCTTGGTGATATCATCATAAGCGATAAATTATTCATTAAAAAAGAATGGGCTCAAATATCTCTCAGACTACCGCTTAATACACAATGAGATTTTATCAACCAGTATTGTCAAGCAAATTAAACAACCTAAGGTAATTCATCTGTTCCTCATACAGGAAGTTAGAAATTCATTCAACAATATCAGTATCAGCCTTTTAAAGCTATTCTACCTCATCTGTTACCTGATTGACATATGGACTGACTTGCTGAATTCAATGCTGTGGAGGAGGTTAAATATATGCGAAGTACAGTTTCTCGAATGGATCCTCATCAAAACTAAGAAAATAGTTACGGAAATATTTTATCAATCAGAGAGGTTTAGTAGCTGTTAGCCCGAAAATTACGGTTTTAGATTACAATAACTACTTAAACCTGATACTCAGAAACAGGTAGATACATAATATTAATCCAACAGTTATGATTATGCACCCAAATGATACATATGATTACATTCTCCAATGTCAGTTCACGATTGATAATACCACTCTGTCCAAATCCGTCCTCAAGAGTCACTCATATTCATCACTGTACAGTTGCCCAAGATTGAAAACAACCCAAAAAATAGATAAATTGTCTCCCTTTGATTCTTTGTCGACATTAAGTATGAAGAAGTGAGGGCTTCAAATTTCAACCTGACGTATTTAAGCTTTATCTGGTTGGTTTTTAGGAGGATGTTGCCTACTAACATTCTCTCTGTACCCCCTGAAGTTCAGAAATTCCTCGAATTATTCTTGAATTACATCTACTCTAAATCATTATATTTTTGTGTCACAACCTCTATCTGAAAAACCTTATAGCAGGGTGTAATAAAGCATGAAAATGCGTTCAGCTTTCTAAATGAATCCCAATCTCTGGTTGAGAGTAAGCTCATGCAGCAAGAGTAAGCAGTGCAAACAAAGCATTCGACATCTAATTTAATTTCTGTTTTCGATTTTCAGATTGTCATCAGTTTCCTAATAAATTATTGACCATTATTGTTTATCCTTCATTGCTATTATAAGTAAATTCTTTGCGCTTGCTGAGTAGCCGGCTCACATTTTCTCTTCTATATTCTCACACTGACTGGGTAAACTGTCACTGCAAAACCTATACACCCTCTTCAGCTAACCCCTACATAAAAGCACTAGTTTTATAAGCAGTTAGGTTTTGCAAATACAACCCTATTTGCTTCTGCGTGCTTTAAAAAAGCGCTTGTGAAAACATTTCCCATGGGCCGATAGCTGGTGATCATATGAAAACTAGAATCACTATGCTTAGACAAGTGTAGTGTAAAGCTTAGTACTCTTAAAAGAACTTTAATGCTGTGTGTTTCATTCTAGATGAAATTACAGTTGAGTGGTTTTGGAAAATCACTCAGTAAGACGAAACATTTGATCCAAATTGATTTATTTTAGGCGCTTATTCTAATGAAAATCTACTTATGATGAAAACTGGCTGTAATGTTCGCACTTGTTAGAAATTATTAGAGAACCAACAGTACAATATGGAATGAACCTTATGAGTTTTCCAATTTACTAATAAGTTAAATGAAAATGAACAAGGAGTGTTGCGCTTCGCATTACACTCCAATAAAGACAAGTTTGTTGATCAAGGTTTCAGAAAAAAGAAGTCACAAAATTATCGCTCGACAGTAATAATATACCCCTGACGAGTCAATAAAAACGTTAGTTACTCATCGACTATGGTTCCATATCCCATAACATAAAAATTTAATGCACTAAGTGAGTTACTCAGTCTTTGTCAACACTGAACCAAGCAATACTCTGTCAAGATCCAGGTTTATAAACCTTAATCAACACATCATGATGTTATCTGAGACACTCGGAGACAGGGGGATTTAATATAGATTTTCGAGTGAAATAAAGTGTGAAAAATTATGAAGTCTGAAACAAGTAAATTTGAAGTCGACCTGAGGCTTTAGAAAGATAAACCAAGTCCTCTCAATTTTCTCAAGTACAGACACTAGAACTCATCCATCAAATAGCAGGAAAGCAATGTTTTTGAGGTTAAATCATATCCACTCAAATGTTCGGTCAATGGTCACAGGATACCAATAGATCGCTAAAACATTGAGAAGTGCAAACCTTTACACTCTCTTGTTATCAAGGTTTGATATACCAGCCCCCTAAATTGGGTACTCTGACTTCAGTGTCTCACATTTCATCCTCGAATTAAATCATGGTTTAGATTTCATCTTGCATCTGGACAGGAAATGCAAATTTTTAACGAAGATAGAATCATTATCAACGAGTGATTAAATCAAGCATCGTGATTATGAACTAGAACTCTCAACAATTTCACAGGAGACTGAATATTCTGGTTTCAATTGCAGCAAAGACTATACCTCTTCTCTCTTGTTAACCATGTTCCAGAAATTCGATCAATGACACGAAGGTTATCTCACACTCTTTGATGAATGAAATTATTACAATGATTCTATAGGAAGTATCTACACCTGTTATTTACTCTATTTTGAAATGTAATCACTGAATGTATTTCTTAGTTTTCAAATGGCTTTCGACTAGCCTATTTTTATTTGTTCATTTGAATTTGTGATAAAGGAACTTCCAACCAGTTGGATGAATGAAAATGGTCGTAAAAATAAAGAGAAAAAGAATACTTCAATTAAAAACAAAATTCCATATCTTCATGAAGTTTTAGTGCAATGGTTTAGTAAGGTAACATAATATACTACATTGGTATATTCTCAATATTAAGTTTGTTTATTTGATATAGCACACAGCAACACAGTATCAGTACAGAACATAAATAATCGGAATGACACAGCACCTACACCGAAGACGTGTAAAACCCTACTACTAAAAATAAAGAATACAAAGTGGTAGGACTATAGAAGTCAGATGTCAAAAATTGTGTGATTACTTTGATATGATTATCCGCAACTGTTTATACTTAAAACATCACTGAGTAAACAATACTATATCATAGTGTGTTACATCAAATAAACAAACCTAATATAAAATTCACCTCTACGACAATGCCTAGGCTTTCTCAAAATATTCAATACATATTCTCATAATTTTAGCGTATTCCAATTTTTGGTAGGTTATGTGTATTGTCTTTCCACATCAGTTTCCGCTTAAAAGTAACAAAATGTAGTTATGTAGATCATTTTCTCCTAATTTTATAAAGGTAATGCAAAGAGTTTAATAGGTAGTGTTCAGACGTTTTTGGTTCGGCTATGCTTATTTTAGTAATACAGACCTTTGTAGTTAACATCAAGCTATCTTATATACCCCTTTAGAAGACTGTCCAGCTAGTGAAAACCAAAAAAGATGAGGAGAAAAAAGTTCGATAAGTTGTCACTAGGTAATATGATGCATGTAAGATTGGTGGATTATTTGACCCTGATTTGAACTTAATTTATCATATATATTTAGAATCAAGGAAGATGGTGAACTTACTTATGTGCTTACGGTTAAGGAGGGAACGTTTTCTCGCAGCAACAACAAGTTTCATATTTTTCCGTTTCAGTATAATGAAAACATTAGATTACCAAAGTTAACACGGAAGCAGTATTCGAGGTGTCAAGAGCGCTAGCAGTCATAAATTTGACTGAATAAGAAATTTTTTTATAATTAAGAGTAAGGGAAATGAATTCTTTGGTTGAACGATCAAATTTTTTAACCAGTTTAACTTGTACAAGTATTTAAACGATTAGGTAGTCAAAAGGCTTCAAAAATCTTTAAAATGCCGACTGCTACTTCAGATGTAAAAGGCATTTTTTTGACAAAAATGTCTAATTCAAGTCAACTCACTATTCATTTACTCAACTAAAAAGCTTCATGAATAGGTGAAAGCTCATGAAGGAAAATGTGCTCAATAGGAACACAGTGCATTTAAACAACATACCTTTTAAGTAAATCTGTTAATTTATACTACTTATCATTTTGTTCAGCTTTTCGTTGGTTCTGTCAGACCCGTAGCTTTGCTGTTCTTTTGGGATCAACTATTTCTGAATACATTCGAATCTGATGTCATCATTGAATTTGCTCAAACAATTCTAACATTGCTCGGTTCAGATATTTTACATCTAAATAACAGTGACGACATTGAACACGTAAGTTACAACCATAAATTATCCTTAAAACAACTGCCAGTTATTCTTCCACTCGTGAAAATCTTATTATTATTCCCCAAACGTTTTTTTCAGTTTTCAAGCAAACTGTCAGTGTCTCCTTTTCTACATTTTTACTGTACATAGGAAGTTGATCTAAATTCCGCCTAGTAATATAAAGACAACAAGGTCAATTTCATGATGAACACCGACAGAAGATTATACTTGTCACTACTATTTTTGTTTTCTCCCCTTTCTTTTGACGAGTGATTTCTATACAAAAATGTAAAATAGGACGGAAGCTAAAATTGCTGATCTAGTGCACTGAATGAGTTCTGTGCACAACACATAGTCCAAGAGGACACAAACAAATGTGGATTTCCATTTGAAGTTTTTTTCGACAAACATGTCCAGATTATAACTTGTGATTCGATCAATACTGTTAATGACGCCGAAATGTCGAGGATAAAAAATACAAGGTGAATACTACTGATTGGCATGAATACTCGCCGACTTGATTTTTTTTGCATACCGTTGGTACTAGCCACTTCTGTGTTAGCTTGCACGATTTAATTCTGCGAGTTGAACCAATTTCCTTAAACCTCTAAGTAATTTGATCCCAAATAAGTGAACCAGCCCATCACCATCTGAACTATTTCATTCTAGTGATTTTTATTTAGCTTACTTTTCTGTTAAAGTATCTACAGTTACCGTCGGTCAGTGTTTCAGATTCTGCAATATATTCTTACAGAAGAAAATCCACCAAAATAAAAGGATGCTTCCCTAGTCCGTAATATTACTTTTATATATGTCCTACTTGGAGTTCGCTTTCTCTTTATCATAAAAGAAACAGTTTCAGTTAATCCATATTTGTTTCCTGACTGGTGCTTAATTATGCATAATGCAATTGAGTAAATCTTCCTTCCTTTTGGTAGCTGGCGAAACTCAATGCTACTGTTATCGCTAGACTAAAGAGAGTATATCAAATCTTCCTTATTAACTAGCGATAAGCAATAACTACACATATAAATGTATCTAATCCACTTTTGTTGGTTTATAATCTACAGTTACTGAAATTTGGACCGAATAAACTTCTTACTTTGGACATAATTCGAACGTGGAATGTGATTCATTTTAATAAAGCTGTTAATGATAGATATTATGGATTAAATAGACTTTCTGGGGAACTGATGTAAGTCGTCTGGTATTATTACTCATACTGATTTGGAAGTAATATTTTTGTTCTCATTGGATGATTGATTAGTCATGCAATTAATAGTGACTTCTTGAAATGGTTGAGAGTATTTGTAGCTCAGGTGGATGGTTTTGGTTGCATTGTGTTCTCTAGACAACCCAGGCTCAGGGAGCAAAATACAACCAAGATAGTGACGTCTTAAATGTTGTCCATTCAAACCCACTATTGTCCGTTGAATTACCCCGTTAACATATGAATATCATTTCATCTTTTGTATAGAGATTACAAGTTTATTGCCTGTTGTCAAGTTTCTATCATCCTTTAGTCTGCTATCATGTAACTGATAATGAAATAACACTGAATATTTTAAATATGATCCTTTTTCAACAAAACTATCTCAGTAAACAGTTACTTTTGGACATTTCTCTTTTCAAAGTTATGCGAGCCCACTGACATGTGAATAGTGTCGACATTTTTAATTATGAAGATGCTCCAAGATTTTGGAAAAATGCAACACCATACCTTTTTCTGGTGAAAGTAATGTAAATATCTAATTTTTGTAAGTAACAGAAAAATAATTGATGCTACAGATAATGAACGACAAACAAATAACTGTATTTATAAATTCACCTGTACATGCAGCATATGTATGTAAGAAGAACAGAAAGACGGCTGTCTATAATGATTTTCCAGCGCATTTTGAAAATCGATACCCGAGGTGTTCATTTGGACTCAGGATTGCAATAACTCATCATTTATATGGTAAGATGAAGTCTTTCATGATGGTTAAAGACGAAGGAACAAAGTTCTTACTTTGGATTTCCAAATACTGACTTCTGCTATGGTTATTTCTATGTAAATTTATCTCATCTACTCATCATTCCTTTCAGAGAATTTTGAACACGATTGTACTGTTAATCCTACCTGGTTCTAGTCTTATTAAACTCTTTCGTGAATGTTCTCGACCATACCAAATATAAAATATATCTGATAGATCTGTAAAAAGTTTTCGCATCATGAAGTGAGACGTCTACATTCTAACAAGATTTATAGGCTTTGAAAATATTACGAAAAAAATTTCAACTACTGGTATGACCATAGTTTTTAATTTTGCTCAAAATACTGTCTAAAACTATGATGTATTTGCCATAAATGTGTGTGTCTAGGTTAATTTAAAGATTTTTATGAGATTCAGATTCGTGTTTCTCCGTATCACACTGATGAAGTATAACCCCCAGTATATTCAATGCCATATTCTTTCTATTACTTTTAATGCAATTGTGATTTACCTGAATAAATTGGATACATCTTGCTGATGAACTTCAGTGATTCCAAGACTCAAATCTTTACCTTTTTTAAAATGTTATTTATATGGTTAGCAAAAGCACTTTTCTACCTTTTCGATATATGTTGCTTTCTTCTGTGAAATTTCTTTTATATATATTGTTCACTATCTATCTAAATAAGCAGACCGATTAATATTTGGCAAAACAATCAGCTTACAGTTGTGACTTATTGATATAAAAACTAATCATTTAGTCAACGAGCAACTTGAAGACATCAGAGAGTATAAGAGAGATAAAAAGGACGTCATAAAATGTACATACATGTAAATTAGCATAACACAAATAATAATATGTAATCTAGTTTATTACGCATAAATTAGATGATTCTGTATGTTGTATGCATACATATGCCGAGGAAAATGCATAACAGAATAGAAATGCTGAGTTACTTATGCTTTTTTATAAAATCATAAAACTATACAGATACATATCTACTATCACTCTAGCTCTGCATTCATTGTTCATCTTCAGGTTCGCTAAAAGTGTATAAAAATGGTGCATACAATGACTATGATAGTCACATAATGTCAGAATAAATAGAAAATCGTTGAAAAAAAATATAACAATTATCTATCGTAACAACACATAGATACGTGTATATAATGTATCAACACAATACTTTTATATAAAATAAGGATAAGAAAATTTGCATTTCTACTTATTATTATTTGAAATTTAGCTCACAGATAGTAAGCTTGTAGGATACTCTGGAAGGGAACACCAAATAGTTGAAGAATACTGATTCATTACTGTTTAATGTATGTAAAAGTTCATCAACACATTAGTATACAAGAAGCATAAAATATGAATTTGATTAACATTAAAATAAACTCAGTAATACAAACGTAGTTAAATTCTTTTCACAAAGGACACTGTTTCTTCGAAGATATCGCTAATAAAAGAAAATCTGGTGATTGAGGGAATTAAATGAAGCTAAGTAAGCACAACTCAGACTACGAACTGAGTTTTTGGATGTCTGAACGTTTGTTTAAATCCAAAAACTAATGTAGTTTCAACTTCAACTAAAATAAAATTGTGAAAAGTAATGATAAAGACAATTCATTTCCCTGTTCTGTTTAGAGATACAGTCTCTACTTTAAATGAATGAAAATTTAATTCTACTCCATGTCTTTAATCATTAGTTTCCAATCGCTTAGCCAAATATTAGAGTACTTTCAAAGGCATTATATCCCAACTTTTGATCCCACATGGGATTGCTTAAACAATTTAGGAAGTTTTGAACTAGGATGTAAATAATATCTCGGTATTTCTGTTTCCAATTGGTTACAATGATGAATGCTATTCTCATACAGATAAGATAATACGGAATTCGTATCACTATTAAGGCGAAAACGTTTCATTATTAGTGGGTTAAACTTAAGAGTATAGTGGTTTATATTTCCATGAAACAGAATAACTATACAAATAAATAAAAATATGAATATTTAGAATAAACATCTGGTTTTATGATCATTAGTACCAACATTGGGGTCACTTTTCTGGCATCTTATTGGAATTTCTACTTAGAAACAAATTGCTGTCCTATTTTCCTTTAGGCACTTGTTATGCTAGCTCACCGAACTTTATTTAATAGGGAATAGTGGTATCAGTTTCCTGATTGCCTATGCATCATGCTTCTCTACTGCTTGCAAGCAATTACCAAACTTATCGAGAAAAACTGTCTCATCATTTCAACAAAATGGGTGAGTGACTAAGAGAACAAAAAGTACACATACCAAGACTGTTACTTAATGGCTGTTACTTACAACTTAAGATACTAATCGAATGATTACTTAATGAAACTTTGACTCATGGGTTAAAGAATATTGTTAGGATGATGTAGTTTCCAAGTGCATTTATTCTGTGTTAAATTTGAACATAAGATGATATTTTCTTGCTGTGGTATAATAATACCTTCAGTCAATAGTTGCTTTGTTTTGAAGAAACTGTTAACATTTTTGAAGCAGAATGGTCATCATTAAGGGGAAACCTTAAATCTTGCTAGCTATTTTCACTCATTAAACCAATGCATTAGCAGACCAATATATTATAGCTGTCTTTTACTTCAATGCGGGTTACAGCTGACTAATTACTAAAATTGTCACGATGTCGTTAGGTCAGGAATAATTACTGAATTGATATGTAGTTACGTGTGATTATTCGAGTAGAATCCTAACCTATACATGAAATAATGAGTCATTTTTGCATGCCTAATTTACTTCCGGCCAAATATACAGATTCATTAGAAAAATAAATGCGTTTTCCGTATATTCTTACCGTTCCTTGTAAACATGGTGGTTACCAGCTTCTATTTCTACAAACATGTACGTTAATTTATTTCCTAATACTTCGAATTTCTTGTTGCTATACTCGGCCGGACTGCTCAACCTGTGTTGCCCAATGGGCAGTTATGAGAATGCCTCCGTACTACCCGAATATTCATTATATTATAGTCTATTTGTTGGGTTCCACTGCTAGCCAATCGGACTACAAAATGATGAATATACGGGTAGTATCAAAGCATCTGCTTAGGAGCCCTTCCGTTAACAGAGGTATAGTGATTTCACTCAGCATCGAAACGGAAAATTATAAGTATCAAACAACAACTGATATCCGTTATACAAAATGTGGTCCTCGTGCCTTAGTGGTCCAGTGGGTAAAGCTTTGGAGTTTGAAGCGATTGGTACCGGGTTCAAGTTTTAGTGGGAAAAATACCACTCATTGAGATTCAGGTTCATCTGCCTGATGAGTCTCGAACAGGATGAAACGCGCGTCCTGGACTCTACTGCTAGTCACCAAGTAATCTTCATTTTAGGTTAATTGTCTGGTGTTCCTCAAGCTTTGAGGTTTTTTGTTGGGCGTTTCGCCATCAGACTAGACAACATAAACAGCATTTAATTCTCAACTATCCTCATTCTGAGTTACAGATCTCTAGTATCTCAAACAAATAGATGTCTTTGGAGAGCTTTTGAATTCATACAGACAACTAATCCAAGGACCAATCAGATTCATTCATTTTTTGAAAAAAGGCACCTTTCTAGCCAAATCAAGCAACTTGATTGGTTATTTCAGTGATGTTAGGGTGACCTTTGGGATCAATCTGTTCAAGTATGAATAAGATATCTAAACCCAGTACCCCATGTATGGATTTCATCTGACTTTTGTTTGTTGTACTGATACAAAATTTCGGCTGCAAGATATATCCTTGCTGTGAGGTCCTGAATTAAAAGTTTAAGTTAATGCTAAATGCGGAAATTACTTCCTAATTCGATTTTAAAACAGAACAGTGCATAAAACGTTTAACGTTCACCAACTGAAATGCTATAAGATACTCTAGTTTAAGATTATTTATTGTACTACAATATCCTCTGTTTCTCTCAGTCCCCTTTTATCCTTACTTAGGGACTAAAAATAACTTGAGGGAATACATTTTATTCTTCACTACAGATCTAAAAAGAAGCCTACTCAGATACAGAAAAAGACGGAACCATATTTCTATCTACCAGAATTCGCTATTCATCAAATTACTGTAGCAACTGCTACAGACTCAAAAGAGGTAAGTTCTTCTGGCAATATACATAGCGAACAATTTAATTGTACGACTCATCATATAATCTGCTACAAAGGATGTAATGAAATGCAATCCTGTCTCGAAACCAGGTAGTTCGTAAACCTCGATTTTGAAGAACAAGATATTCAAAGAGGAGATTCTTTTCAAAGAATTAATGTAAAAGCTACGAATTATTGCATATATGTAATAATATTTGAAAACTGCATTCTGAGAAGTAACTTAAACAATGGATAACATTACTGATAATACTCACAACAATGAAAGTATCTTCAGTTATAATGTCTGAAAGAAAATCAGTAAATTAATGAATTATTTGGTCCAGCCAAACTTGATTCATTGCATCTGTCGTTGGATAAATGTCTCTGTATGGCTATAACTTTTCAGCGCGTTAGTAGATCGACTCATGCTAATCACACGACTTTAGCAAGTGAACAGGTATTCATTTTTGTTCGGATTAAGTTATTCTTTGGAATAAGTTTATAGTTGGCAAACGTTTCAACGTCATACTGAGCAGTATTATCACTGTACTAGAGATCCACAAGGAACAGAAGTAACTGGTTGAAGGTGGAAAACCAGTTTCTTGAAGAGCTCTGGGGCTTATATTATGATGTCCAACATGGCACCGAATCGTTAAGCAGCTACAGATTCATCTCAGAGAACAACTCACTCTGAAAATCTAGACTCTGAGCTAAGAATATTCTACACAACTTCTAAGTTCCCTCATTAAAAAAGATGTTTGACTGAACAGCCGTTTATGTCAACTACAGTTTGCTCCAGTGCTGGCATTTTGACAGGTTTGACTTTTAATTCAATTTCAGTAGCATGAAATCAAATTTTCTTTAGATGAGATGTCATCAGCGTATATTTTACCACTAAAAACTCGAAACACTGAATTACTGACCCTTCATTCGATATCTTTCGTCACCGAGCTGATCCTGAGACAAGACATCTTCAACCCATCACTAGTAGTCTTTTGTCAATTTCAGGGTAATGCGTTTGTCCAGCTAAATAGTATGTCTACAGCCCATAATAAATTTCAAAAATCATCCACTTAGGATGCAACATGAGATACATAGTCTACAGACAACTAACTAATGTTTTTCAGTGATGAAGCATGAAGAAAAAGTTAACAAGTCGGTAAAACGTTGATAAAACTGGTTACAAATTAGTGCTATAAATTAGCTACTGATTAAATTTTTTCAAGTCAAGGCAATAACTGGTTGAAAAGTACAGTCAAATTCTACTCATTTATTTCCTAGGTCCATTGTTATAGATCTACAAGCAAATTTTAACACAGTTCACTTTACAAACATACTTTAAAAAAATTTTATGAGTGTTATTTTAATCCGTTTCTAAGTAATACCACAGCGGAGTCAACATTTTGAAACATAATACAGAACAACCAGAATCGTTGGAAATCACTTACGCTGATCTGTAGATTTCACTAGCCAGATCATACTATGTACCAGATGGCCGTTTCACCGTTCTCTCATCAAAAGCATCATCAGTAGTGTATTTGGATAAATTCACTTCACAAAGCCTAACTGTTTAAGTCAACTGAATCCAGTTAGCTGACTTACATGAACAGGTATACTTTAAATCGGATAATCAATTTGAAAATAATTTACTAACTCCACGATCTAGACTGAAAATTCCCATATCTAAGTAGCTTTTAAAAAATCTAGCTCTGGTATCAATAAGATTTCCGTTGGATCATGTGATTTGTAAATGGTTTGAACGATAATAATTTAATTTGAAGTGAACCTTCATTTTTACATTTATTTGCCTGAGATTAAAATTATGCATAAAAGTAGCTTGATATTCGTGGAGACGCAAATCACAATAGGAAAAGAAAACGCTCATATTGGACATCGAGTAATGTCTAAAACTTAAACTTTGCCTTATTCTTAGCATCAAAAAGTTTGTGGAACGGCTAACAGTGAAAAGTTAAACTAACTACTATGTCTCTGAGTATCACGCTCAGCACCTAGTCAAAACTACACGGTTGAATGGATTCTTATGTTTTGAAACAATTATTATATCAAGAACCTAAGTCATACAGAAAGTCAGAAATCATAAGACTGAATCGAGAATTTAGGCAGAATTTCAGGTAAGTGATATACACCAATTTAAAGCTCGTCTGCATGAAAATGCTATCACGGATTTTATGGTCATGTTTCATGAGGAATACTGTACCAGATTCATTCACCATTCAGTATCATTTGTGTGACAGTGGTGAGTGGGTGAAAGTGAATTCTCATGCGCAAATGCAAACTGTGAAAATCACTGACTTGCAGTGACTTCAGTTTTCAAACTCATTATACAGACTATCGTGTAATAAACATCTCACTGCAACATTATATACTCTCCTTCTTCATCACACGTTTGACTGTTCGTAGGAACAATATAAGCTGCAACGGCAGTTCACTTTCTCTGCAAGTACTCTGTGCAGGTAAATGCCAATATGGACGGAATCTAGGCATAGAAATTTCCACAGACTGCATCAAATACCAAAATTTTTGTCCGAAATATACATAAGTAACGCATTCTAATCTTCTTTTCTCTGCAATCTCTTTTCAGAAAATTCTGATATGCTCCAGTTTTTACAATATTCATAGATAGAGGCGATGTATAAAGCTTCTAGTGAAACATATTTGTTTTGTGTGGAAAACTTTATGAGAGCATTTTATGACACTGGAAACATTAGAATTTGAGGGAGTTGTGGAGATTTGGAAATATTTCAAGTTGTTATTCGTCGTAGACTGACATCAGTTGGAGGAACAAAGGAAACCTGGGAGCACTGGACAACTGTTTCTTCCTAGTATGGGACTCCTCATCAGTGCGCACCCACGACCCCGGAAGGGATCGAACCATGGACCACTGGATTCTGACCCAGTGACTCAATGGTAACGCGCTGGCCGCAGAATCTCAAGGTCGCGGGTTCGATCCCTTCCGGGGTCGTGGGTGCGCACTGATGAGGAGTTCCATACTAGGACGAAACAGTCATCCAGTGCTCCCAGGTTTCCTTTGTTCCTCCAACTGATGTCAGTCTACGACGAATAACAATTAGAAACATTAGTCCTAAAAAGGCTGAAGTAACTAAATGAGATTATATAAAGTAATAAATATCTAACTATTTTGCATTATATAGTGCACTTGCAAGTAATGATCAAATATTACAAAATATCTGGAGTTATCTTGATTTTTTGAACAGCAATCAGTAACCTGTAAATGACTAAATTCTTTTGAACTATTTAAAACTAATGGGTCGGTAAACACTTAAACGTTTAGAGTGTTCTCTGAGCTTGCATTTTTCATGGACAGAGTAATCGTAGTGAATCAGTATGTCGTCCTTAGCACAGCTTCATAAAAGGTAAACTTTGCATAACCTTAATGAGCCTTTAAAGAAACGATTGAGACTAAACTTACCACTGGGAGAGCCAACAAGCTATCATGCAATATTTGATTGATCTGTCGATGATAGTTTATTTTTTTGTTCTTCGGTTACTAACTTCTTTTTTCGTATTATTCAGGCATTCTATGAATTTGTCATCATTTGGATACAGTTTAGCAGCATGTCTCCGTCCTCAGACAATGCGACCACTTCTCTTGGTTTAACATTCAGTCATAACTTTGAACCGGAAAGATCTCCCACCCCTGTTATCTCGAATAAGTTTTCACCTGATTAATCCTCAAGCTTCCAGCTGAAATGAGTTTAGTTGATTCAAACTGACTTCATTAATCAGTTTTTACATGATTCTCTGTGATCTCTGATATTGTATACAGCTTTTGGTTTCAGTGCCAATGGCATTTTTATTTTTTTATTTGGTTCAGCTTTTTGGTCTGGGCATTCTTCTGACTTTGAAGTCCATTTTGTCAATAGTTGTGTAAACTTTTATCGATAAAAGGGCTGGTTAAAATCATGAGTTGATTTTTCCCAATAACCAGTAATCAATGCATTTTCAGCCAAGATTCTTCTAGATAATTTGATGGCTAGCAGCAGGATGCAGAACGTGCACTTCGTCCCATTTGGGACTCGTCAGCCGGATCTAATTGCATCCCGGTGAGTGACGTTGATCCCACCGAGACTTGAACCCAGTACCTACCGCTTCAAACACCAAAGCGCTACCCATTAGGCCACTAAGACACGAGGACCATATTTTGTGTAACGGGTATCAGGTGTTCTTTACTGATAGTTGTGATTCCCTGTGGCTATACTGGGTCAAATTACTTGTCATCTGCTGGCAGATAGGCTCCTGTATCTATGCCGCGATACTACCTGGGTATTCACAATCATGCTTCAGTAGCCTAGGAGATTGCACGTTCGCACTTGAAACAATGGGTACTGGGTTTGAGTCCCAGAGGGAACAAAATCACTCATTAGGTTCCAGAAACACCCCCTTGACGAGTCTCCAGTAGAACGGAACGTGCGTTCTGAATTCCTCTACTGGGTGTCAAACAGACTGCAATATAGTGAATGTCCAGGCAGTGTCGAGGTATCCCCATAGCAGCTCTTCTGTCAATAGAGGACGAGTAATTTGACTCAGTAGAGCAACGGGGAATTATAAGTATCAACCACTAATAAGATTTGTCCACCTCACTCGTGGATAGAATGCGCGTGACATGAACCCTGTGTCAGAAAGAGTCATTTTTTCAGGTTTTGTAAGAAATACAAACTAGAGTCTTAAAACGTTTAATGGGAAACAGTTTGCAAATGCCATGATATGCAAGGCTACTTGAAGACGTTTCAAAAGGGAAGCATACCAAACTCTCCTCATACTAAATCTTACCCCTAGCGTGGTACTGAAAAACCTTTATAGTTCCATAACTTTGTGCGAAATACGTGCTGGATTGAAAACCACCAAGTTGTTGCCTGAATTCCCCTTTGACACCATTTTGTTTGGTACTGGGTGATAATTGAAGGTGAACTTCAAATTTGGACCGCAGCGGGATTCGAACCATCTGGTTTCTGGTCTGGTGCTCTA